ATTGAAAAAGAAATGGAAAATGAATTAATTTTCCAGTAGAATTTAATTAGATCTAATATGCTGAACAATGAAGAATTAATTAATTCATTCTAGTTTTTCAACACAGATTTCAATATAACATATATATTTTTACAAAATCACTTATAAAATCAATATTAATAATAAAATTAGAATTAAATCATATTTTATAAAAGATCTAATTTCAATCTTAATAGAAATCTCTTATCAAAATTTCACTGACTCTTTAAATTGACACTATTCTCCTCCCCAGAACAATGGAAATGAAAAAAAAAAGTGAACCGATCATAAATTGCTGAGGTAAGGAATTGAAATCCCGATCTTCCATTTTCTGGACGACTTATTTGAAACTCATTATTCAGGTCGATAAAATTTACTCCTTTTATACCGAATCTTTTAATCGTAAAATTTTAAATGCCTAATACCGTTCAGTGTAATACGCTTCATTAAATTTTATGCGAATCACAATGATGGATCGTAAAATTTTTTGAATTAGTAGTTCCATAATTTCTATTTCTATATAATTCCACAATTTATAATTTAAAAATAAAAACGTAATATCTTTCTTTATTTAACTATTGAACCTAAAATATATAAATATTTTTTATTCTCATATCAATAAGATCAATTCTGTAATATATGCACAGAATTAGAATATTTGAAATTTAATTTCTAATAGTCAATGTATTTATAAAAGATAAATAAATTAATTTCTACTTGAAAATCAAAAAGGATAATAGCCTAAGGACTAATATCAAGGATTATACCAAAGTTTAAAATGTGTTTGGATAAACAGTAAGAGAAATAATTAATGGCATTTGTATTTTAGAAGTCTAATTTTAGATCCAATTTCTTCTATCTGTGCTCAAACGAGCACCCAAGTTAGAACACTGTGCTTTATTCGGCAACACTAATGCTTTATTTAAAATACGTGTAGTAACCAATTTGTAACTCTATATCCGTGGTTCTCAATTCTTTTCCTACGCGAGTACAAAAATTTCGATGGATTACAATCCATCCATTATTGAAATGACAAATTTCCATTATATTCAAATTGCAAGTTTTCCAATATAACTTTTAAATTAATAATCAAACAACCTGGTGATTAGAATATACTATACATCACTTTTAACCCATGCCAAATTCCCTTATTCAAACGTTATGAGGTAACATTTTATTGTATTTCGAAAATAAATATTTGTAATTTGTTCGAAAAGCAAAATCTGTAAATTGCAATTAATCCTACCAACCGTTAACAATTTTAATTTTCTAATTTGAAACGGAGGTGATGTAACGAATTGCAAACACGTTTCTGATAAGATACGAGTATTATCGTTACCTTCCTTATTTTTCCAACGAAAATGCAATGGTTGCTGACGACCGAGAAGGTGATCGTTTCCACAAGTACACCAGGTTGAAACAATTTACATAGTTTTAAAGTTTCGTACACGGCCACGAGAATGGTTGGAACGAGGAATCGTCGAGTTTCGTGAAAGTGTATTGTCTTCACAGGAAATGGTCTTGTTTGTTTCAGAAAATAAAGTGTCTTGCAACAGCTCCTCGTGTAAAAAGCAATGGCATAAGATTAATTTCCACTCTTTCATGTCTAGTAGAAGAAGAAGTGTAAAAAGAAACTTGTAGTTTTACTACTCGTTATTGTTTACCTTTCTAAAACTTGGTTTTTGTGAATTGTTTCTTTCAATAAGAGCTTCCCTGTCGTGCAACTTTTTATATGAATTGATACAATGTGTATCATTGTATCAAATTGCTATTTTTAATTAAATTATAATTTCAACAAATTCTTTTGGTAAAAAATTCCTAATAGATCTAGAATATAGTTGTTGTATATCCATAGAACTTCTATTCTATCTGTTAATTATTACATATTATTTATACTTTTTAACAATTTTTTTCATTAAAACACATTTAATCTTATTATAAAATTAATACAGGTAAAACTATATCATTTGTTATGATGATAACATTTAAAATATTTACCTTCATTCTAATTAAACACTTCGTTAGTTTGTTGTTCCTAATTTCCTTCCTTAATTAATTTCTCTTATCTTTCTCTGTAATTAATTAAACAGTTTCGAATCACAGTGGTCTTCTCGGTTATTGATCCATACGAGCCACGAATGCAACAGGGAGTGGCAGTGAAAATAATATCATCGGTCTGTAGAGGATGTTTCTTCTTCCTTTTCATCCCCCATAAAAATCAACCCTTTTGGATGCCATGTTTTAAAGAGGAAACGATCCGATCAATGTACGAACGACTGTCCAAGAATAAAGTTGATTCGAATCATAATTCTCGTTCTCATTTCAATTTTTGTTTTTCTATAATTGAATTTAAAATCTTGCATTAGAACTAGATCTATCCTTCAATCAAAATGTTTTGTCGTTCTTTTTATGGTTGAAAAAATAATACCAAAATGCTGATTTTATGAAAATTACAATTTGCAAAAATAGAAAACAATTTTTCAATATTTTCTACTTAGAATTAGGATAAGATATATTTAACACTTTCTTTGGAAATGGATCATTTAAATAGATTTATATATATTTTTTAATTTTCTCTTTGATGTTCGAATTCAATCAATTGAAACAAGTGCAATAGAGTGTAATAATCTCTGTTCCCATCGTTTTGCTTTTTAAAATCAATTCTCTAAAAAAGGTTTCATAAATATATATTAAATATCCTTTATAATTTAGAAAAATTCAAAATCGATCAATTAGCGTAATCCATATAACTTTTAACGACTTCCAACGACAAAATCATTCTGCAATCACTTACTTACTTCAAACGTGACTATGAAATAATTTCTATGATACGTGACACGAATCTGGAGCAAATTTCACGAGTTTGCCAGGGAAATGGCAGGGAAGGGCCCATGAATCATCGATTCGTGTGATTCGAGCCGAATTGAAAGCAGCAGAAATGGAATTTGCAGTTCTAACGCTATTTCTTCCCATTCAAGCTTAAACTGAGTAGTGTTGTATATATATATCATAAATTTTTTTTTACTATCATTGGAATGCAAATACGGATATGCAGTGAAGTGTCTAACGTCGTGATAGTTTGATGGATATAGATCTGGAATTGGAAGCATTGCTTTTGTTAGGTTAGGTTAGGGAAGTTTGTGAGAAAAGATAAGAGAAAAATTTAAAGATATGTATGTATGTATGTAATTTTTAAAATTGTTACCTATTATTAGAATTCCAAAAAATCTAATTAATTTTTTAACGATTTAGAATAATTTTAAATAACACATTTAAAAGTTAGAGTTATAAGATCTAAATATCATCACGGAGGATTAAAATTTTTAAATGTTATAGTTATAAAAAAATTAAAGTTTAAAGGTTAAGTATTTATCACGTATTAAAATTAAAAGTTTCTTTATAATATATTATATAATTATATATCACAAATATTAAAACTGAAATAATAATATCACTGATAAATCAATATAATTTACTGAATGAAACGAAAAAGAATATTTTCAGAAAAATTGGTCAGAAAAATCTACTATAAATCAACACTTGGAAAAATCGATTATAAAGATCGATTTTGTTAACTGCGAACAATCGCTATAAAGACTCGTAGATACTATCGAAAATTAAAAATCGATTCTTCCTTGTGCGAGATTAATTTAATCAATATTAAAATAATTTGTTAAATAATACTAAATGAAATTAAAAAAAATATTAAATTAACAATAGACGATCAAAAAAATGGATCATATATAATTATTAAAAAAATTCATCTAAAAATTATCTAAAAATTCATCTATCAAAAATCGAAAATCGATTCTTTTTCTCGCGAGAGTAACTTTCATAAAATTCGATTTGTGACACTCGATTTCAAGAGTCATGGCGATAAGTAGAACGCTATTTGTAAATGCATAACGTTTTAAAGTATTTACTGGAGTGTAACAGGTGTAACTGTTTTATCGAGATTTCCCTTCTTTTCCCGCTTTTCTTCCTCCTCCACCTCCACCTCGTTCCGACCCACGGTACGACAATCGATCGGTATAACGTTGTGTCTCGCGTATGCGTACTGTCGGATTTCTCTCTGGCTGTCACCTTTTTCTTTTCAACATTGATACGGTTAATTTTTTCCTACTTTCTAGTCGTCTCGTTTAGTGATATTATAACGTGTTGTATTGTTGGATTTGACTTCAAACTATGAAAACTTAGTAAACATTGAAAAAAAATGTGTTAAATATTCATTTTGATAAGTTAAAACGAATACTTTTGTTTATTTTATTCTATTTATAACAAGTGATTCATGCAATTTAGATATTTCAAATAAGTTTTAAACGATGAAATGTTTAATGAAAAATTGATAAATATAAAAGTTGCGTAGTTTTAAATTTCAGATATTTTGAGGTTAAGTTTATTTCTTTCAATGAAATCGTATATTTTGTTCGTTGTGGACAAAAGAATAAAAAAGAATATTATTCAAGTAAAAAAATTAACTTATATTGATCTCAATCTATAATAATAATAATAATAATAATAATAATAATATTTTTACGACGATCATTTCAATTTTGTTTTGAATATACATATAAGAAATAGTGGTTGCAGAAAATTTTTCAGAATCGAGAACTTTCGTAACTTCATTTCAGTTTACGTTTCGCAATTAATCGTGTTGATCAAACGAAATGAAAATAAAGGATTGTTGATTAATCAGCGAAATCGCGAGTGATTGAGTAACTGAAAGAGTATTATCACAAATCATATAATGTAATTCTTCTCTGGATGCAAATTATAAAAATAAAATTATTTCATAATTTACTTGTAAAGATGAAACTTTTATGAAATTAACTTTTATTTTATATCATAATCTTTTCAAAATGCATTCATTTATATTTATTTCTATTAAACTCAAAACAAATTTAAGAAATTTAATAAAAAACTTTTAAGAATAAATGTATAATCATTCTTTTAAATTATTTATATAAATTATTTTTTATTTAGGAAAATTTTGAATCACAAATATGACAAAGATTTTCTTTGAAAAGTTTCGAGGATTCGAGTTTCTTAATAAAAATCATCACATCTTCATTTATAGCATGCTTATCAATCTATCTTTCATCCATGAATGCTACGTAAATAGATTTTCACTTTAAATGCAGATCAATCTTAATTAACTCGTCTCGGTAAGATATAACATGTTTTTCCATCAGAGTATGTTTAAATACAAACTATTATCGACTTTATAGAGCACAGCATTCACATTACTTTTCCTGTTTGCAGATTTTCTTAATTGCTCAGATGATTACATATTCATTAAAAAGTTTTCTAATTCATTTTTTTTTTAATCATTATGGAAACATGTACAAAAAACAATACAAGAATAAATACAAATATATATTTTGAATATTAATGCATATGTAATTTAAAAGAAATATACATAAGAAAGAAAACTTGGAAGACTTACCAGGCGTGAGAGACATAGTCTGTTGCCTTCTCGACCTCGAATTGTCCCGTTTTCCATTGGAAGACTGAGATCCTGAGACCTGAAGTCCCGGAGCACTGACCGCACGTTTTGGTCCTCCCAGTACACCAGGAACGTTGCTGTTCCTCGCGAATCCTGGAGGACGGTATCTGGCTGATTTCACGCCAGAATGTTGAGGCAGAAAATGATAGACACTGTGCGCTTTGTGCATTGTCGTTGATGGCGTGGTTGACGTCGTCGTTAAACCGGAAGGTGCAATGGATGCTGGTAAACGTGGTAAAGAATTGGTAGCAGCGGTGATGGCAGATTGCATTCCGCGTGGAAGAGTCGTTGCTCGAGATTCACCACTGTACTCGAGCTCGTCTTCGGTGTCCTCGTCACCTGTGGACGTATCTGTTGATATATTGGTTTGCATTTTTATTTGGTTGACGTTTGGTGGTAGATAATTAAAAATAGCAGAGATTCTATGTTTTGATCTCTGGATTCTCGATTTTCTTAAATTTTGAGTTCTATATTTTGTTTTGTATTTTAATTTTAAGATTTAATGATAAAAATTTATTCACAAATTCTATAAAATTTAACAATTTGATGTAAACTAATATTTTATATTTTAATTTTAACACTCTGATGATTCAAAAAATATTCTTTTGAGTTTTTTTCAATAAAATTTGGAATTTTATGTATAAGTATATTTTATAGAATCTAATGATTTCAAAGTATTCAATTACAAATTTTCTGAAATTTATTATATTTAAGTTTTCATATTTGAAATTCTAATCCTAAAAAAGAGGGTTTAAATCCTTCATGAATTTTTAGAACTAATTAAAATATTTAAAACTAGATCAATATTAAACAGTTTACAAATATTATTCAATATTAAAAAAAATTTAACATAAAAACAATTCTTCTAAATCATATTATATTCTTAAGGATACATTCTTTTTATATGCAGATAAATCTTCATGTGATATCATACATTCCAATCCTCATTTATATTCTTAGAATTATTTTCACTCGCAATCAATACTCTAAACATTCGCTCAGCTCAATTATTCTTTATCCATGTTGCATCCACGTCATTCATTACGATATACAATTCAAGTCACACTTACATCAGTTTTATTTTTTATAATTTTGACTGATATTATACACAAAAAAGTTTTATTTAAAAAATTAAAATGTAAACAAAAGAACTAGAATCAAAAAAAAGTAGTTGGAAATAGAAATAAAAGAGAATTAATAATATAGATGGTTAAAAGTGACTTAGTCTTGGAATAGATTATTTCAAAATAATAGATAAAATCAGGAAAGAAATTATTTTTATTGTGTCATTAGTATAATTTTTAACTCTTCTAAAGAAATCTGCATATATATAGGAATTTTATATAATTTTATATAATTTCTAAAGTATTATATAAGAATGCAAAAATTTACCATTATAAAACAATTTATTAAATACTCCTCTATTCATTATCAAAAGTATACTATATTATGTCACACTTGTGTAATATTGTTTGCCTTCATTTGAAATGTTAAGAATCATAAGAGTATCACAAATGTATTCTAAAGTTCAAGTTGATATATACTTTTCACATTGAATGGAGTTCTGTTTACAAAACATATTTTCTAATTTGTATTTGTACTTTAAAAATACTTATATTTTTAAGCTATGTAATTAAATTTTAATTTGTTCTAAATCATTTCATTCTTTCATGAAAATATTATAAAAAATTTAAAATTTACAGTAAAAGAAATTCAAATAAAGAATATAAAATAAACTTACCAGATTCCCCTCTTGTGTTAGCATCAGGAACAGATGATCTTCTTCTATTACTCCAGATCCTTTCCTCCACTGATCCAGCACTGGCAGCACCACCACTTCCACCTCCAATGGAACCACAGCTCCTAACTCTATCCAATTGTTCTCTTGAAAAGCTTTTAGGATTGAACAACAAATCTCCAGCACTTCTTCGCTTAGCTGCCATTGCCAAGGCATTAGCACTAGCACTAGCACCGACACTATCTCCAGAACAAGCCAAAAGGCTCAATTTCGTCCTAGAATCAGCAGCCATTAGCGCCGATTCAAAACTGCCTCTCCAAGAGAACCTCTCATAATCACTAGCTTCTCGTTCCTCCCCCTCCTGTCCAGTGGAAGCTGCTGGATGACTATTAATCAACAGTAAAGGATCATGAGATTTTGATCTGGGTAACTGCAAATGCGTCGACGAAGGTGCGTTAGTAGAATCTGAAGTGGAATCATCATCCTCAGTGGTAGAAGCTGAGGAAGGTGTTCTGTGATGTTGAGAATAACGTCTCCAGCTGGTGGAGTGATGCTGCACGCTTGGCCCACCTTCAGAGACTTCATGCATTAAAGCAACCAATCTACTACCTATATGATGCATCACTTTAGCTATCAACGGTGGACTGCTGTGTGGTGTCGAGTTGGCGTCAGAACTAACTCCATCACCTGCCATCTTCGTGAAACTCTGAACCAATTTCTGATACACAAACGCGGTATCTCTGCCTAAACAGGGTGGTTGAATTCCAGGAGTTGGCACAGTTTTATCTTCTCTCTCTTTGTCCAACAGAGTGTCACCCGACGTTGTGTCAAATTTGCTGATAATCTGTTGACAACTCTGCGAGATCTGTTCCTGTAAAGCTGATCTACGACCACCAGCTGCTCCTTCCAAGTCAGAACTGGTGTAATCAGAACTGTCATATGAATCTGACCACGTGTCTTCAGAGCTAAGGTATTCGACTATTTCTCTTACTTGTTCGTCTCGAATTCCTGGTACTGTTTTCATTAATCTAGTCAATTCATTTTCAAAATATACTAATTGAGGTGGCTTTGTACGGTTTTGTGAACATAATCTGGCTTTTGATGCATAGCCTGCTAATCTAGGACTGGGTGCAGGTGAGGCTGCGCTTGAATTTGCATTAGTCGTGTTCTGATTCTGCCCATTCGAATTGGCCACCATGGTTTTGAAGAACTGTCTCATCTTGGACATCATCAAGTTCGTTTCCTCGTCACTGGACCAATTGTTGAAGCTATCCTTCCTCGAGAGAGAAGCGTTTGGCAAGTGAGGCAGTGCAGTGTGACTTAAATGATGATCCACCTTAACCACGTTTCCTTTCTCGATTCCGGAGGTACCTTCATTCGAAATTTGATTCGCATCTTGAACATTCTCACCAGTTTCATTGTTGGAACGATCTTTTCCACCGTCTTGGCTGATTTCTGAACCAGGTTGGCCATCCTCTGGCAATTTCTGATGTTGCAGAAGATCGTCACAACTACCTACAAATCCAGAATCTCTTGACTGCTGCTTCGACCTTTGATTGTAGTTCAAAGATTCTCCTGAACTCATTTGTACATTCCTGGAAGAATCGACAAGCGACGTTGAAGTTAAAGAAGCATTGACGGTACCCGATGGAGAGGAAGAAGAAGATAAAATACATTCCGGTTGAGGTGTCTTTGCTCGTTCAGAGTCCTCAGAATTAATAGCTTCTGCGTCATTTTCCATCACTACTTCTCCAACCAACACCATTTCTCTGTTAGGCTCAGGAGTTTTGTTCCTGTCGTCAGGAACACGTGGACTCTGAGTGCCTAGGTTTCTAGGCTTCTTCTTCTTCCGTTTCACAGTGTCAAATTGCCCATCCGTTCCAAAGGCCGCGGTTTGTCCATCATCCGCTCCATCAGTCTCGGTGGACGAGCCTTCTGATTGCGTCTCTTGCGCATCCTGATTCAAACTCAAATCTTGAAGAGAGTTCTGCGAGCTCAAGTTCTGCGAACTTTGAGTAAGAGCAAGTAAATTATCCAAGGAAGAGCTGTGCGATCTACCGGTACCTCTCGCGCGAACCAGCTTCTTTCTTCTCTGTGCCTCAGGACTGGGTCTTCCTTCAGAATCACTTCCCACAGAGCCATCCGAATCCCTCCTATCTTGGTCGAATCCTAGAAACTCCGACAAAAAGTATTTTTCCAGTCTGGATGAATTCAAAAATCCCTCTCCAGAATTCGATCTCTCCTGACTCTGTCCGTTTCCTGGAGCCTCGTCCTGTCCAAGTGACTCCAAACCCTCTGAATAAATGGACGAAGTCTCCGAGAGGCTGTCCACCTCGCGCGAACCCATGCTCGAATTATTTCCATCACCTCCAAGGCCGAAGAAGAAGTACTTCTCCAGTTCGGAGGCCGACGGAGGTCTCTGCTTCTTGGATGGACTACCAGCAGCCAAACTGGGCTCAGCCTCGCTCTCCTCGCAAGATTCCTCCACGATGGTGTGCAAGGTAAAGTCGATAGCCTGTCTATGATAGCCACGAAGCTCCTCCTCCCTATCCCCAAGATTATTGGCTTCATCCTCAGAGCTTTCCTCGGTGGCAGTCGTAGCTCCGGGCTCATCCTCATCGTGGGAAACCTCTTCCACCCATGAATCATCATCGGCCAAGCCTTCCTCCAAGATCACCACCCCACCACCAGCAGAATTTTCATCGCTGGACTGCGACGAGACACGTGTCCTTGTGCCTTCACGATGCTCATTGCTACCCAAACGCTCTTTGCCAACGTTTTCCTCGTTGCTCTCCGCTCTGCTACCAATTTTCGCCGAATTTTTCACCGAAACATCGTCGCTTTCACTAGCACTACCAACACTCAGCCCGCTGTCTACCTCCGTTTCCGAATGATTCGCAGTCACACTGGCCAAACGCTTCACCATCAACGGTTTCCTCGGCCCTTGGCCATTCTTGCGATGCGGTTGCTCCGAGACGGCCTCCAATGCCAGCTGGAAGTAGCCAGCCAGGCCCTGGCTAGCCTGGTGCACTTCATCCGGCTGCAACAAGGTTGTCGTATCCGAGGTGATCACGCTCACCGGCTGGTACGATGCTTCCTGGGTGATCATCACGAGGCTTCTGTACTTGTTGCTGTTGTTGGCCGTCGTTGGCGAGTACTGGTGAACAGAACTGTTGTCTCTGATGTTAGAATCCTTGGTCGACGCAGCAGCAAGGAATCCATTCTCCTTTCCAATGGACGGGCGTCGCTCGACTGAGAGAAACCGTGTCGAAACCCCTTCTATCCCCTCTTCCACGCCACCACCACCACCACCACCTTCACCACCTCCACCTCCAATTTCTCCTACTACCTGACCAGAGGCAGAACACTCGCCTCTCACCGTGCTGTCATGCGCATTACCCGCTTTACCTGCGTTCAACGTTTCTTGTATCTTGTCCACCGTTGTTTCGATTTTGCCCACGCTCGAGACTGACTTCGACTCTGTCGAGCCGTTGTCTTCTGCCGCGCCATCTTTGGCCTCGGATGCAGTTCGCCTCGATCGATCATCCTCGGTCGCGTTTGGCAATGAATCGATCTCGGTCACGGCGTCGATAATCTCCAAAGATTGCTCAACGATTGTTCCCTCGCCTTGCGAGAATAATTGCTCCCTCCATCTCGCGCTGCTCGATGCCGTGATGCTGGATTCCTCGTAATTGGCATTCTTGTCGTTGCTTCGTTGACTCAGCCACGATGTCCTTTCTTCGTTGCTTCTGTTCAATCGTGACAGTAAATCGGTGTTTTCGAAAAAGGTGACGTTGGACGATGTCACCTCGTACTCGTGAAGCTCGTCGCTGCTTATCTCGCTGCCTGTCGTGTTCGTTTCGTTGCTGGTGAAACTGTCGCACCCTAAAGAATTTTCTGTTACATTTAAATTTGTATCAGTTGCTGCGTACGAATGATTATCATTGATTACTTTGGAATTACCGATTATTGTTTCAAAATGATTATTATTATCCTCGGAATTAATATGATTTTCGGTTCTTGAGGCTTGAACAAACTTGGCACTCTCCTCGTTGTCGTTCACAATTTCTTGTGCGGAGACCTCCAACGAGTCTGGAATTATGTTAGAGTCCCAGGTGTCGGTGGACGACAATTGCGTTTGATTATGATTATCCAAATTCATATTTTCATTATGCTCTGTTTCATTTTGAATCTGGTCGATTTTCAGCCTATTTTCTTCCACAACTGTCTCTACCCTTTCTACAACGCTGAAGTTATCGAACACGACAGGCTCTATGCTGTCCGGATCCAAACTCTTTATAGACTTTAACTCGATCTGACTCTCTGAACAATCGTTGTCACTCGCTATGTACATTTCCTCGGGCATCTCTCGTTGCTGCAACGACAAAGAAATCCTCTTATCGCTTATTTCTAAATTATGCTTTCTACCTCGAGATCTACGTCTCTCGTTAACATTCCCATCTCGTTCAGACTTATCGTTCATCCCCAAGCTGTCGTCCTTTCGACCGGACCTCGCCCTATCCTTCTCTGAATCTTCCCCGTTCGCGTTCTCAAAATTCGCGTCCTCGTTGAAGAATCTAACGTACTGGAGGACCACAGGTTCTTCGTCGGGAAGAGCCGTGACCCTCTTCAAAGTGATACCGTCCTCGGCGGCGGAATCAGAGTCTTCGTCCTCGTCTCCGTTATCCTCAATGTCGTTGTCGCTGGTGAGCGAGTCGTCATTCACGACGAACACCCTGGAGAACCTGTGGGACGAAGAATCGTCCTCCAAGTCGCTGCTATCCGCCGAAGACCGGCCGGAAGAGCTGCCAGAGTCCTCGTACATTCTCTGCCTTTCCCTTCTGCTCTCGAAATCTTGACAGCTCGTTTCCTCATCCTCTTTCGCTTCCTTCGCCTCCTCATCGCTTCCCACCTTCTTCGACTCGTCGTCCAATTTGTCCTTATTTATTATCTGTACATCGGAGGATAGTTGGTCAACGACCTCGCTCGAGACATCCAGCAAAGCGGCCTCTTGCCTCGTCTCCACGGATTTCGCAGCATCCTCGTTCTCGTCTCGGTTGACGTGCAGGTTGGTCATTCGTTGACGAAGCTGGTCGCTGGTCGGTATGGAGGACGGCTCGATGGTCGAGTACAGCACTTGGTCGGGTGTGAAGGAACTTAGGGTGGCAGGGTCGAAGACGTTGGTCAGTCTTGGATCGAGTCTGGAGCCGTGCAAGGGTTGGTTGAAGCGTGGGTGCCAGGCGAACCAGGGCGCGGCTGGATCGCCTCTCAACCTCAGTGTTCCTGGCTCTGTGTGGGCATCGCCGCTGCGACTTATCATGGAGGATGCGGCTGCTGCAAAGTCGCTGGTCCACAGAGATGCCGGAACTGGGACCGGATACGGGACTGGAACTGGAATTGGGACTGGTACTGGTAACACGTTTGCTCCTCGAGAACCTCCACACGCCTGGAAAGGGGAATGGTAGAATTGTTGTAGTATTATATTAGATTATTTTTGTTGAAATAAACAATTTCGTTAGTCTAAAGTTCTAGTATTTAAATATAGATGTTTGAATTGCATCATCTTAAATTATTATGGAAGATTTTTGTGAATTTTTCTTGATTGATTTTTTATTTGTGAAAATAAAACGTGATGTTTAAATATGGAAATTATTTATAAAATTTAACAATTGAATTTAAGTCAATTCAATTCTATTTTTATGAGTTAGGATATATTGTGTAATTGTATTTGATGAGTAGTGGTCATTTGCAAGAAAAATATTGAATTTTTGCAATGATGATAAAAATTGTGTAATATATAGATACAGATTAGAGCGTGATATTGATAAGAGGTAGACAAGAAAATGCAAGAGAAATTTATAAGATTATTTCATACAATCCATTGTAAAATTAGATGTTCCTTGTGTGTTCATTGATAGGTATAAACAATTATTAAAATAAATTATTTCTCCACATTTTTATCCTTAAATATGCAGTATAATATATTCCTTCAATTTATTACTAATAAATTTTTCAAAATATTTTCTTTCTATTTTCACTATCTAAAACTCTCCATTTCAAAAACACTTTATTTAACATTATCACACCGTTTCTCTATTTATTTCTTTTCCAATGTAGTTCCATTTGCTATTTAAATTATGTCAAAAGTCCACTTAAATTAAATTTCTTCCATGCAATTTTGATTAGATAATAATATCAATGATCCAACTTATTTGTTAAGACATGAAATCACATCCAAGACAATATTTAAAAATTCAAGCAATTTAAAACAAATAAAATTTCTGGACATCTATCAAGAGTCAAACACTCTGACCTCCTCACATCCTTAACCAATTTTCCAAAAATCTTTCATGCAATTTTGTTCACCTTAAAACGATGATATATATAATAAATATCGTCATCCACTATCCAAGCTACCTAAAAAATTCATCATTATCAGCTGAACCTTTAAATATATCATAATCATTTTTAATCAAAAAAAAAGTGTTTCAAAAAGATGATTTCTCAAGCTAAAATAAACACAATTTTGAACACTTTTAATCAAACACTCTAATATCCTTGCCAAGATACTTTCCAAACTTCTCAAAAGGAAGAAAGAAAGAAAAAAAAAAAAAAATCTTCCATGCAAATTTAATCACCTTGCAACGACGAAACTGATAACAGATTCTTTCATCCAACATCCAAGCTTCCTAAAAAATGCATCAATTGAATCAATTGAATCTCCGCGCACGACAGGATCTTTAATAACGTAAATTCAATCAACAACCACCTGACAAGCAGTGGACCCGCGTCCAGGACAACAGCTCCAATCCTGAGCCGCGCTCGTCTCCGTGCCAACGTTGCTCGTGCTTATGGCAACCGGAACTCCAGCGGGCAGCGGCAGAGACCCACTCTCGAAATAATCCCAGTCACAATCCTCCAACGACTGCGTGCGGCTGCCTGCGCGCGGCAAACCGTTCAAGAACGAGGAACTCGAGCAACTGCTGTCAGCGTCGTCCTCTTCCCTTCCCGAGGACGAGTCCGAGCTGATGAACACCAGCCGCCTGTAGTCGACCAGCGGCTGCTCCTGCTGACTTCCGGTAGGGCTGTGCTGCCTTCCGTCCCGGCCAATCACGTGCAACGTTTGGAAACCTTGCAATTCCTCGGCGCAACAACTCCTCGCGTGTGATCGGCCTCTTCGTCTGGAACCTTTTTTCCCAAAACACGATGTTTCGTGCTCGATTAGAGGACAGTGATAAAAAAAAAAAGGAGGGGAATGAGAAGATAACTGTTATCGATAACTGTTATTAGCGACAATTATCGCTATTGATTTCGATGTTATCAGGGTGATCGATGGAGAAGATTTTTTTTTCGAAGAGTTGAGAGAAAATTCTTGATAAGCTGCGTGCTTTGATATTTTTTTTTTTCAATGTATCGTTTTGAGATATCGCACGTGTTTTTATTTTGTGCAAATTTTTGATATTTCAAAGTTAAAGGAAATTTGGCAAATTTCAAAATATCGAACGTACTAGTACATGAGAAAATAATTCGACGAGTTTGATTTAAAATTTTTTTATTTACTATCAAGTTTATTATTTTTAATTATTAATATTGTAAAGAAATATTTATGATATAGGATAAATATAGTAATTTTTCTTTTTTTATTTGTTAATAGCTGAGTGGAGTGTTGATCGTTCAAAAATAACGAATTCATCGAAAGTTGGTTAGGTTTATGGCAAGGTGCATCGACAAATTACGAACTTAAGCAAATATTCCACGAAGATAATGAACGTGTTTACTCTTGACCGCTAATGAACCACTGGCGAATTTTGCTCGTTAACGATTAAAGTACCCAGGCACGACAAAATGACTCACAATAAATGGCTGCACTATTGTGTATGGTGCAATAAAGAGGAATTAAAAGAAAGGGATAATTTACTATAGAAATTTTTCAACAACAAGTATCCTTCGTTATAAATCCTTTTTTCATTTTAATTATAATTATAATAAATTACTTCTGATTAATGTAATGTAACAAAATTTGTTTTTTTAAGGTTATTATTTATTTAGTATAATTTTTAATCGAATAGAATTGTCATAATAATAAATAATAAATTTAACAATAATATGAATCAATAAAATTAAATAGATAAAATCGAATAAAAGAAATCACTATATTGCATCAATCATGCATTCAATGAATTTCTTAAACCAAAATCACTAAATCTATTTTCATTCAAATTATAATGATCAAACTAAAATTTTGAGCATAATAGTGCATAAAATTGAACAAACGATGAAAATGGAATCGTAAAAACAATCAAAAGAGAATATTTTCGAGGATTTGATCATGATCTGGTCTTAATTTGCAGTTTTACCGACTTAGCAAAATTCGGAGCGGAAAAAGATGGAATGCGGAGATAGAGGGAATTAATTGTAACATATAAACACATACGCCATTCTTTATTCGCCAAAAGTAGGCTGTTTTCAACGTATTATTGCTACCTGTGTGAGAATAAATTAATCTCGTCCAAATAGCTTCTAATTGCATTTACCTCGTCGTTTCCTATCGAGTTTATTTATCGTTTTCAAAATTCAAAACGAAGAAAATTTTGAATCGTTATAAACGCTTGGACGATTTAGCAGAGGCAGAGTGCTAAATTTAGCGCGCGATTCGCGGAGAACACCTTAAACGGCCATTTACATTTCCACCAATGAGTTTCTTGTTCACTGTCACCTATTCCGATGTTTTCTTCGTTTGAAATTCAATGTTGTAAGTAAATAAATATAATTTGTAAGTAACATGTAAACAAAGTGTAAATAAATTGTAAATAAGTATAATAGAAAAAGTAAATTGAATAAAAATATATTGGAAATTACTTAGTATAAAAGTATTAGTAAAATAGTACTTCATTATTTTATTGTAAAAAAAATTTAAACAAAAATCAGTAGACCAAATTATTTTAATTTAAAAGTGATTTATCGTTTATACTATTTTTTAATAATCGGATAGCGAATAATAATAGATCATATTTGATTTGTATTAAATTCTCGTATTCGAATTTAATATATTTACTTTATAATAAATATGTTTTATTATTATTAAATAAATTAGAATATTATATATTTGGAAAAGGTAAAAATCCAATTTACAATTTATTTTCAAATTAACTTTAAAAGTTGATTGATTTAAAAATTCCTAAACATCAATTTCTAACCTCACAAAACGGAAACTAGACATACAGTGCCGAACAAAAGAAGCTTTAAAGAAACATGATACTGTAAAAGTCGCAAGACTCGAGAGTATCGAATTCAATTCTGTATGAATCCTATATGGTGTCCAAAAAATTTCAAGAAACTATATTTATCATATAATATAATGATTCAATGTATGAACTTTACATGGTATACAAAAAATTTCAAGAAAATATATTTATAACAGTAAGTAGAGTGATTCACATTTTTTTTATATATTTAAATTTTTATAAATACATAGATATTCACTGTCTACTAATGATATATTAATAAATTTTGTACAATTCATATATTATTATATTTATAAAATCTCTGAGTTACTCAAAATATAATTAATTGTACCAAAGAATAATAAATTGTGAAAAACACAATTTTATTGAAGACAATCAATGAAATTAAATAAAGATTTATCTTATTTTTCAAAATAATATAATGCATACTATATTTTGAATATTTCATATATTCAAATTTTTGCATAAATACATAAAGATCTTCTAATAATGAATATTCTATGACACATTATTTCCAACTCTATTTCAAATTTTATTTATACATAAAATATTCAAAAGACAGGATATTTTTCATTTTTAAAAAATTCAATATTTAATAAAAATTTTAAATTTCATATTCTTTTGAATATATCTATTATTTTTTATATATATAATATACTTATTATATAATTATACTTTTCTTATCTTATCAAGTTAAAAAGTCAAATTGCAAGTGATTTTTTTCATATATTTTAATTTATATATTTATATTTTCATATTTTTGCCAACTTTTTAATATTAAAACTATTAATTATAATATATATCTGAATATATGTATTATATAAAGATAACTAAAATCAAAATACCATTATGAAAATAATTAGATCCATATAGTTTTCTTTCTATCTAAATAAAAACTAATATTAATTTTGCCAAAAGCATTTGTGTAATTTTAATATTTAATTTTAAATAATAATGATAGAATAATATATAATGAATAAAACAAAAATCAATCAATTTGACTTAATTTAACTGTTTTAAAACAAACTATTATATGTCTTTTTACTAATTTATATATATATATATATATATATAAATTAATATTAATAAATAATATTAATAAAAATTAATATTAATTTTGTTAAAAGCAATTACAAAGCAACAAGCCTAGTCAATTAAAACTTGGTTTAACACTTCTAATATTAGATTATTCTATTTTGAAAATATATACAATTTTTATAATTCTATCTACTTACACTTGCAATAATATATTCAAATACTCTTATGAGTCACCCTATAAAGCACCAATACTCCCACTAATGCTTCTACCAAGTGTTCACCAGCAACTGTCACTGTTTACAGCTCGTCAATTCCCATTCTCAACAATATTTATAACTCACTATTCCAACCTCAAAAACACCTGCTGGGTCATACTTGCAACCAAGTTCACGAACCTTGGTCAAATTGATGGAAAACTTAGCAAGGGCCTTATCCAGTGTATCGCAACGGAGGCCGGTGCGTATTCAGGATCTTTCGTCATCGTCTCGAGGTAAACGACACACTGTCAAAGAAAGAGCAGTGGCGATTCGCGTGGGCTACCGCCAGAGAACTGAGAGCGTCTGAGGCACACCTGAATCCCAACAGCATCGGTCACTACCTTACTACAGCGCGGAACAACCTCTATAGTGGCGTCGTTGTGTATATTGTGACGCGTATACTGGGTGATGCAAAAAATATAATAAAGAAATAGATTGTGATGTCTGTGAAAAAAGGCAATAACAATAATATAGCTGTCAGTGAAGATTAATAAGAATTTAATCAGGCCTACCTTGACTAATGGATAATAGAGGATGAAGACAATTGTTTTGATCGAATTGTGTTTTTGGTATGATTGGAATTAGATTATAATAAGTATATTGGATTATAGTAGTAATAAGTACATAAATATTGCGTATACTATAATATTAATTAAAGATAAATGCAATTATTTTTTTATCTTAAAATACAATATTAATTTTTCAGACAGGAATATATATATATATATACTTTTAATTATAAATAGAAATATGAATCATTCTATCTAATGGGATTAATTCATTTTTGAATTAAATGTTACAAAAGATTAGCCTTTTTTGATTTATAAATAAAAGAAAAGATAATAAGTACGATTGATCGATATAAACAAGTAATCTTTTGTGAAAATGAAAATGAAAAGAAGAAAAAATTGTTTCATTTGCAATTGAATAATATAAACAAATACCTATGGTAAGTAAAAGAAGAAAAGATTGTTTCAAGCGAATATAATTTTTCTATATAATCAAAAATGATTGTGGAAAATATAGAATACTGACCTTTTTTAATATTTTTTTAATAGTAGAATTTTAAATATTTGGATTACTATCGATGCGAAGCTCACTATTGAAATGGCAGCGATTATGCAGAATTCGCGACACCTTGTATAAGCGTCGCAGGTGAGCGGACTATGGAGCGAAACAGAGAAGTTGTTATACTATTATTTCTATGCTGTTTTCCTGGGCACCGCTTCGCTTCGTCTCACCTGCTTGCTTACTTGCTTCTCCTGCGCTCAAACCTTGCCTCTCAGGGTGTTAATATGTATGTATATTCGTAGAAAACCTTTGTAGGATCGATTCTAAACGTCAAAACAAATACAAAAGTTGATATACAAAAAATATCGATTATTATTCATTTATTAAGTTATAAATAATTGAAGTTTAATTTGGATGAAGCGAGATGGAGATAGAGCGAGAAGGTGGCACGATGGCAAGATAGATTTATCTCATTCTAACCCAAACTTCAATTAATTATAAGTTAATAAATAAAATTCAATCTTCAAACGATATTTTTATATAAACTTTTGTATCTGACTCATCAGAATCGACTCTCCAAAAATATTTTATAAATACTAGCAACACGTATGTATTATTATTTAAAAATCTTATGATATTCTTGTTTTTATCCATAAACTTTAATATGTGAATCATTCTTTAATCATTCTTTAATATTAACACTTCAAATACTTTCTTTTTTGTAGAAATACCAAATTAAATGATCTAGGTATCAAATAATTATACATCTTTTTAAAAATTAAAAAAAAAAAAATAGAAAAGAATCAAATATTTATGCCATTTACATTTAATCTTCAAAATATAAAGTTGGATTAAAATAATTATTAATTTCTCTGTTCTTAACTGTAAAAATTTTATTTTGGTCATATTATTAGAATTATTACAATGGAAAAATTTGCGAATACCGTAAGAGAAGAAACAATCGAGACGCCTAAATTTCCTCCTATTCCTTGTACCGATATAAACATTATTCAGGAGAGTAGCTAATTAATTAGAAGCGGATTATAAGTGGGCGTGTTGTTCTCACGTTTTCAGCAAAGATTTTCTGAACAAGTTTCATCCAACGATGTTGTTATGGAATTATAATTTTTTTTTAATTATTACGAGCTTTCTTCGATCGAAGGATAGTGAATTATTCTCTCTTTGCAATTCATTCACATATAAACGATTAAAAAAAAAAGAAAGAAGCAAATGATTATCGATAATGATAATCACAACAATAATAAATAAATCTAAAATGTAATACCCACTTCGAATTCACACAACTTTTCTCACTAGCTGCTGCTATTATACATTTTGAAAACTACACACAAAGATTTTTGTGTTTCAAAGCCAATATTTTTTTTTTTCATTTCTCTTCAACAAAAGCCGTTCGTTTAAATAAATAAAATTAAAAAAAAATCTCTTTATCTTGAACGTATCTATCCTATCCAAAGAATGTAGAGAAAAACGATAATCCCGGCGTAAAAAAGCAAAAAATACATGGACACGAAGCCGGTGATTAATAGTTGGCATATTCTTCTCACGTCCATGTTTGCAGGATGCTCGGGTCCCTCCAGATTGGATGGATATCTCACGCCGTGAAACATGCGATTTGCATTCAACTCGGATCCCCTGCTCGTGGCTTGTATCATGCGAAATGCACCGAGAACAACGGTATACCTGAATTTTACCTCGAGCCTGTTGTATCGAATTTTTTACCAAATCGATCGAGAATTGTGTAAATTTTTACCGATCGAGAAAGGAAATTTCTTTAATAACCTCAACAATTTAATTTTTTTTCCAAATTTTAACTTTTAATTTTAACTTTAGCCTTTAGTTTTTAAATTTATCGATATAAAATATTTTATTATTAATCGTTTAATCAATTTATTAAAAAATTAAGTAAAAATATTTTTTTTTACTAATTTCAGTGATCGCCTATTATCAATATTATCGTCGATATAAAAATATTTATCAATGGCCACTTCTATTAATATCCCTGATCCCGTGTTTATATGACCACTTATTACGTATTTTTCGCACGTTCACTGATTAGGGATATGTATGCAATATTTTTCTTATCAAACACGATTTCGCGTTTGAAGTTTGATACGGAAACAATATCGCGCTCGCTACGTTGATAATACTATTCTGGAGTTCGCAGGTTTCACGAGAGGCACAGGCTGGTTTCATACGGGGCTAGTATGCCAATGGTTTCGATAATCGATGGACTTATCCAAGCATGTGTTACATACGCGAGCTGGAAGCTGTTTCTGGCAGGTATGCCGATAATGTAGTTTTAATTACGAGAGATATTGTACACGTTAAATTCATAACATTGAATTATTATTCTTAAAAATTATTTGAAATAATTGTCTCAAAGTGATTACTTTTACCTAATTCAACTGTTTTTGTTTAGGAAAAATAATATCTGAAACAAATTTTATTCGATACGTTGCAGCGAGAAATATAAAAATTATTTACTGTATAATTAAATTTCAGAGGAAAAGTCAAACAAGAAAATTAGATATGTGTGATGTGTAATTTTAAAAGTAATATTATAGAATTACTAAATGCTATTACTTCAAGATAAGTAACATTAAATGATTAAATAATTTATAATTTTAAATTTACTAACAAATTACCAACGAATGATTAATATAGAACAATGTCATTTCAGCAATACAATAAGAGAAGAGGAACAGGAGAATACAGCGCATGTTACACGCAAATGTACACACAAAACGCATAAATGTATGAAGGCGGTCGCGAAAGCGAAATGTTACTCGCTCCTACGATAATTAGTAACTCTATTAGTTATGGCTATGCCTTCTAACCAGCCTCAGAATACAAATGCGAACGAGCCTTCCCCGATCCCAGTGTTCAATTACACACCTTATATCTCTACGCTTCGTTCCACCGATTAATGTACACACCGTGGTGAATCGCATCTTATGATTCATGAAATCGATGAAAATTTGGCGGATGACATGCCGTGTCCGATTTTTGATTTATATACCTGTTCGATTGTTCGTCAAATTGCCGATGGCAATTGCGAGAAAACGCACCAGTGTTGTTCTTGGAAACGGATACTCGATTATGGGGATTGAATTGTTTCATGGATCGTTTGCCTCGCCAAGATTTCATCGTTACTTTCGTTTGTTTCTTTGTTAACAAGCTTGGTGTGCATCCTGGGATGCATTTAAATGGATAAGAAGTAAGACTGCTTTTATGCAATGTTATGGAGGTAATGAGGACTGGTGAAAATGATAATTTTTTGCCTTAATTTGAAAACAAGTGTAATTGGAATAATTTTATTTCAAGTAATTTGATATGGTGCAGAAAATTTAACGATCTTATATATAGTGGAATTTCTTGTTGATGTTTGTGGAAAAATGCATGAATTTCTATATTGTTTTTTTCCAGAAATAATTATTATGAGATAATGCGTAACGTATAAAGTTGTATTAATTTAATCAATTTTAGGTACGGTATAGTGATTTATAATTATTGTTGAAATAGTTAATTTGTAAACTTTATTTGTAAATTTAAATAAATAGGAATGATTGAAAAATTTATATTTACATACCTTGGGCGTCGAATTGTCTTCTTCTACGAAGCATGCTTCTTCCCTGAGAAGAAACAGGACCTGTTCTTCCATGATTATCATCGTGAGGATCATCTTCACCTGCACTTGTTGCGCTATCGCGTTGCACTACTTCATCACTTCCGATCGTCAATGGAACCGTGCCACTTCCGTTACCACCGAAAAATTTCACTCTCCTAGCCAGTTCTACGTATCCATGAAGACCAGTCTCGCTTAATCTAAATTAAAAAAAGTAAAAAAAAATAATAAATAAATGAATAAAAGGTGAACTTATAACAAATAATAAAAAGATTAATAATCAAAAATAACTATAATAATAATATATAAATAAAAAGTTGAGAAAAGAAATGATAGAAATAATAGAAAAAATTCGTAATAGTATCTTTTGAATATGAAATATGAACCATTATTTTTTATATCTATTTCTCTCATTTAGCGAGAAAAAACATTTGTGCTTATCATTATTCATTCTATAGTTAGGATACAATACAATATTTTATTGAAGATGAAAATACAAAAAATATATTTCCTACTATTTTCCTATAATGAAATTTTAAAATTACAATTACACTTTCTCTTCAAGTGATATCATAAATATTAAATGATAAATATAAAAACTTTCTTATATAAAATAGATTACAAAATAGATTCTTCTATTAATCTTATTCTTACTTTTTTCCTTTAATACTTACTAATCTAAGAAATCTATCTTTCCAAACTTCCAAATTCAAAATTTCCAAAATTCCTCCTAACAGCTACATTCTCCCTCCCCATTACAGAAATACTTCTCGCAGATTCGATTTCTAACGCACGCACAGACGGCAAAACTTCCGCTATTACTTCCTAATGATCGATTATTCGAATTGATCATTCGAGGCACGTGTTCTGAGCTAAGTTTCACGAGTTTAACCGTCGCGTGATTTAAATTGCACACACCTCACACTCTCGCTACCGCTACTCTCGTATCTAGTACTGCTATTCGATTCCCTTCTGGTCCTCGTGATCGCATCCCGTATTCTTTGGGATGCCGAGCACGAGTCGCCTGTTTTCCGTGGAAGTGCCGGGGTTGGCTCGCTCTCGCTCTCCCTTGGACTGTATCTCGAGGATCTTGTACTCAGTGGACTCGCTTCCGGAGATAAATGCTGGAAAGGGATTTAATTTATTTATTTATTTCATTTATTTTGTGAGAGATTGGAAAATAATTGAATTGATTAGAATGAAATGTTTTTTTATTTGAATAACTTTTTCTTTAAATAGTTTTGTATTAATAAGTTTTATTATCATTAAATAATTATATGTTTCAGCTACATTGTATAATTAGAAGTAAATTTGTATCAGAAGGCTGATACGTAATAGCAAATATGTATCTATTTTTTGAATAGAACCGGTTTTACTCGAACTGAAAATTGACACGTTGCATATTTTCATGGAATGGTGTAAACATGGGTTGAAAAATTATTTCAAATTAGAAGGAAAATATATTTAGAGTTAGTTTGATTAATTCTTGAAAATTGTTTTATCATTTATCTTCTTTATTTTGAGAAAATTATTCATCTAAATATATTATCGTTTATAAATATTTCTTGATTTAGATTAAATTTTTTAAAAATATTTTTATTTATATGAAAAATGTTTTAATATTATAAAAAAGTAATTCTTTTTTCATGAATAATAAAAAATTAGATTGTGTAAAACTAATTATTAGAACAATCAGATATTTTCTATTTAAATATTTGATAAAACTAAAATCTAATTTTAATTAAATTAAATGTATTTTAAAAATCGTAAAAGCTTCTTTTATATGGGTGAATATTGTAAGTGGCATAACAATTTACATTTACAATTTCGTTTAATACAATAAACATGCCGTATACCAATTATGGAAACATATAATTTCATAAATGCATATTTATATTACTATCCCATTATTCTTTTCTTTAGATAATAGAAAGCATTACTCATCGGCAACAATGCATCATGTTACAACATCAATGAGACTAACAGTAAGAATTGGGAAACTTACACTGGAACAGCGTTTATTGGGAGTGTCATCCGTGTCATCAGGATTAGAAAACTCCTCTTTTGAAAATTTCCTCCGTACCTGGATCAAAAATAAGAACAAATTCAACATTTGTACTAAAAAGTATACAATTTATTAATTATACTCCTTTTAGAAACTTTGTCAAAATCATCATTCTTACAATTTATTAATTGCAATTCAATAATAAAACTCAACAACTAAATCTTAGTAAAACCTACCACTTGAAAATCGTCGGATCTCCTTCCATGTATTCCAATATCCTTCCTCTCAAACGTCCCAAACGCATTGCAATCGGGTTCAGAATTTTCTATCAAACTCTCACTAGTCTCCTTCATAGAGTCCTTATTCTTATCGTTCTCGAATACTTCTGCCTCCTCGACCATCGACTCTCCTTCCTTTCTCGCCCCCGTGCATCCACGTATCTCCTCCCTGTCTCCTTTCTTCACGCCCTCTTGCTCTTCCACCAACTTCTTCTCGTCGTTGACGGCCACGTCGAGCATCGTCTGTTCCTTGGCCTCCGCTTTCACTCTCTCATGTTGGCTCGCACATGGCCCTTCCTCGTCATTCCTCTTCCCATCCAGGCTCTCCCTGCTGCCTTCTCTTACCTTCGTCTTTCCTTGTTCGTGCACCGTCGACTTCGATTTCGAGACGCCCACGCGTTGTTCCTCCGTCCTCTCCTGCTTCTCTTCTTTACCAGTTTGCTTCCTTTTGCAGCTAAGGCCGAGCTATTCGCATTTGAATTCAAGCTATCCCTACCCACGTCCTCGCGGCTGTTGTCCCGCCGGAATAGTCGTATAACGTACTTAGAGTCCTCCTTCCCTGTCGATTGGACGCCAGTTCCACGAGTTTCCTCTCTCGTGTCTTTTCTAACCGATTTGGACGAGCAACGGATGTCGTCTTTGCTGTCCTGACGCTTCAATCGGTCCTCCTTGATACGGGGAGAGAGCAGTTTTGGAATCAAGCTGGGCAAACTTATATCCTCGCGGCTGCGACGCAGATCGTCGGTACTTCCTCGATATCTGGAAAAAGTTTTGGTGATAATTAGTGAAAAGTATATAAGTTTTTTTAGATATGGAAGAATTTTTGTTAGCAAGTAGATGTGTAGTTTTTTTTTTTTTTTTCATTTCACATTATCCTTACAAATTTAATTTGTCTCTTTACATTATTGTAGTGACATGATTATTAAAATTTGATAAATTGATTATGGAAATAAAATATTAAATTTAAAGTTTTTATAAACACTTTGTCAAATATTACATATATATATATATATATATATATATAGTTACTAATAATTTATACATGTAGATAAACAATAAGATTTATGTGCATGAATTATTATATTTCTTTCAAATATAAGATAGCAAGAAAATTAAAACTTGAACTTAAGAACAAAAAATATTGGATTCTATTAGATTCTCGCATTCTTGTTAATAATAAATTATTTTATCACACAATACAGAATTAGAATTTTAAGCAAATCGCTTTAAAACTAGATCAAATATGATTCTGCAATCTCTCACTGGCAAAAATTCCTTCTCAATTCTAGACCTAAGAGAAAATATTACCTTTGAGGTATGAGAGAACGTTTAGGTGATTCTTGGGGGCTTCTAATGTCCTCAAACTCCTTGGAGCTTCTCTTAAATATCGGTATATTCGATTTTCTCTCCCCATGCTTGATCGTGCCCGATTTTATCTCCGGTGAAATAAACTTGGACAATATCCTCGGTGGTTTTATCAAAGAAATCCTCGGCGTGCACTGCTCCTGGCTACCGACCTCTTGCTCCTGCTCTTCGATTTTCGTTTTATTACCGTTGGCCAACGAGGATCGCTCGTTTCTCTTCGTTTTTATGGCATCCAACGATGGCACTTCCTCTTCCTGTTTATTGGACGGTTTCTCCCCTCGTTTCGGGTTCGTTCGTTCGTTCGTCTCGGCTCGTGGCGTGAATTTCTCGTGAACAGAGATCGATTCGCTCTTCGTTATCGCATCTTTGCACGGATCCTCCTTCGTAGAATCATTACAGTCGTCGGTATGTAAGGTTGCCTCGTTGATAACTGGTTCCTTCGCGTTATTCGATGTTTCGATGCCGGCCGATTTTACGATTTCGCTCTTGGTAATGATTTCTCGGTATTCCTGATGACGGGACGGCAAACTCCGATATACTCGAAACTCGGCCGATTTCCTGGCCGCTGACCAGCGTGTGGGTGGACCTGTACGTGCATGCAAAGTGCGATCGATTATTTATCGCGTTCCTTTCGATGTTGAAGTTGAAGTTATTATTATTGCATGCAGATTTATTATTTCGTCGTAAGCTTTTTCGATGAAAATATAAAATTTTTGTTGAATTTGTATTTTTACTTTTTTTTAATTAAATTTAATTTAATCCCTCTTCTTAAAAGATTCAATCAATAAGAAAACGTTGGATTAAATATTTCATATCGATGTTCGTATTAATTATTCACGTAAATCATTCGATATAATTTAGAGTAATGATATAATAATTGAACAGAACGGTAACAAACCATTAATAGTCCAAGCCCGTCTGATGCTATGCTTCAATAATTCTACAGGCGACGCTGCTTTTCCATTTATAGATCCTTTACATATCGAATTTTCGAAGGTCCATTTCTCGGTGACGACGTGCAATTCCCTAAAATAAATAAAAAAAAAAAAAAAAAAAAAAATTGCAAGAAGAAATTTAATTCGAACAAAGATTCAAATAAAATTAAAATTTTAAAAGGGGCAAGAAAACAATCCCTTCAAAACGTAGAAATTTCAGAGGATCAGAAACTTCTCGCAACAAAGGATTACTCACGCGATCTTGTAGCAAACGTTACAGATCCACTCGACTTCTTTGTTATCGGTGGGGCTCCTGACCTCGATACGGCACTGCCTGCAAACTCTGTGCCTGCACCGCGCACACGGTGCACCGGTGTTGTAAAATCTACCAAACGGTGCACCGCATCTGGCGCATTTACGTCCTTGGTACGATAGTTCACCCGACGCCTTCAGAAGTCCCCTCCTCCGCAGATATTGCAGATCAGCCTTCAGTCTTCTGTAAAACGCACAGTTCCCTTTGCAGTCCCGATCGCATCTACGATACCATCGAATCCAGTCGATTCGAATGTTTCTTTTCTTTAGATATTTGATTAAAGTATTACTTAAGTATTATTTCGTTTAATTTCTCGGGAAGAAATTGTTGTTATCGTCGCCTCGTGAAAATTTCGAGAGAGATCACGACGATTGAACGATGTCCATTGACCGGTTAAACCGAAGTTATGATTACCTGCCAAGGTATCGTCAATACTGTAGTACTCGTGCAAACGAGCGCATGTGATGCGTTCCTCAACGGCGAATTCGAATGAATGTTTTTGGAATAAAACTCTTCGAGAGCGAGAGTAATTATACGGCGTTAAGAATGGATAATTTTGGGACAATCTATTATCGAGAGATAATTTTTCTTTAATGGATAAAAGGAATAAATAAAAATTATTAAAGAAAGACGTGGCATTGTTCGACCGTCGAAGAGCATCCGTTTTAAATTTGACATTGGAGGGAACAATCGAAGCGGAAATGCATAAGGTAATCGACACGTTGGATGTAACGACAAATTGCATCGATGCTTTATTAATTGCAGTTATTGTATAACACTCGACACTATAGGGCAACGAAATTCTTTGCCGGATTTATTGTTAGCCGAAAAGTTGTTGTGAAAATAGAAACGTCACACAATTGGTCCATAAAGGTTATCTAATTGTAAGTATTGTGAAGTATAGCATACTCTTTTTTCGATATATTCTATTTTGCCTTTCAATTATTCCGTATGATGAAATAAAATTATAAGTTGCTCGTCAATCAGATGATTCTAAACAAAACAAAGTATATCTAATATAGATATGGACACTTGTGATAGAACTTGTAGATAGATAGATTATGGAATTTTTTTTTTTACTTTTATCAATTCTTCTCTTAATGTCGATAGAAATCATGCACAAAGATTAAATTTTTGTTAAAGTTCATTGCTCAATCATCTTACTTTTTTTCAACTTTTACGCACTGCAACCATTCTTGAGTAAGAATTTCTAATAAAATTAAGACACAATCCTTACACATTAGGCTTAAGTAAAGTTAAATTTTGATCAAATACACTATTTTCCTTCAATTCACCAAAAATAAAAATCAAGTAGTATTTAAAGTAAAGATAAAACGATTACTTTCACTTTTTCCATCAAAATTAAAAAACTTGTGTATAATTTTCCTCAAATTCCTAGAGATACTTAGAAGAAGAAACTACACATAAATATTCTTTTTCAATTAACTTCACTTTTTCACTCGATTCACCAAAAAAAAAAAAAAAAATTAATACAAGTACAATTTTCTTCAAATTTTCAGGTTATTCCGATAAAATCCACTTTTTCCATACACCAAAAAATTCCAAAATTTTAAAAAATATCCACAAAAGATTAAGTTTCAACGAAATCCACTTTCTCTCTTAAATTTCATTCGCGACAACCGTTCGAGACAACTGTCTCATCCGTTCAAGTTACCGAAGAATAATCAAGAACATTCAAATAACGATATATCGAAACGATATTGAGACGAGTAAAACGAAAGTTTCCCCGAGATTCGGCTCGATGACAGTGACTCATGTCCAATCGTGCAGTTGACGTATCTAGTCCCTTTTGTTATAAAAAAAGAATGGACACAGCGCGCAGAGGAAAGATTGCTACATCTTTCTTGGTTGGTGCCAATGTTGCGTTAGTATAACCTCGTAGGTGTAGCCTGCCGGGTATATATCTGGTTTCCATTCCCGTCAGGGCACAATGATAAAGCATATTAACGCAACACACTGTACGGTGCAATGGACACGACCGAATAACAATGAACGATATTCCTTTGGCTTTTAGATATCCCGATCAGGATACCTTTCTCCTATCTCTCTTTCTCTCTCACTTCCTATTCGAATATCGTGACTGGACGCCATGGTGTAAGAACACGGAACGTAAATAAACGGTAGCTGGTTTTAAAACGTTTTTATCATCCGTGAAAAAAGTAGATTTTTGTTTACCTTGTGAGGTGGAAGGTATGTTTTGTGAGAAATAGAAAAAAATGAAGATGTTTGCGAATAAATGATGAAAATAAAGATGTGAAGTATTTCTATTACGAGAATTTTATAATATATATATTAAAAAGATAATATTATCCTATAATAAAATATAAAATAATATTATTTGATGATATATTTAAGGCTTAATTAACGTGTAATAAAGATATTGATTTATAAATACTTTTCATAAGAAATATATATTTAATCTTTAAGATAATTATATCATAATTTCTAAGACAATTCGTCAATGAAGATAAATAAATGTACTTTTAAAAAGAGAATATATAAATGTAAATTAAGATGCAGATTATATATCGGATGAAACGAATACAAAACAAAAGTAGCTTCCTTTCAGTTCCTTTCATTGGTTTTTTTCAATTATATGTATACCGTTAGCCTACATACCTTTAACCTCCATCCATAGAGAACACAAGTTTCCCGAAGCAAACATTTATCCTTATATCATTAGAAAGCAAATGTTTATATCTTATTAATTTATAACATTACATAATCCTAATAGTACTTCATTTTATGTTACAATAAAGTGAACGATCGTTTTAACTATTAATTATTTATCCATATAATGGACAAGATATAATAGTTAATAGAATAATTGTTATGGAAAATTTAATAATTTTTAAATTTAGCATAGGATTTCGACACGTCATATCCAATCAAATAAAGACAAGAGTCATAGAAATAAAAGCAAATCCATAAAATATTGCATACTAATCCCACACAATAGCCTTAGGGGAAGTTATTAAAAATTATGTAGATTTATGTGTCAACTTTAAAATCTTCAACAATTACAAGAAATAATTAAAAGTATATTATCAATTCAAAAAGTTTGAAACTAATTACATTTCTTAGAATGCAAAAATTTAAAAAAAAAAAACCAAATTAAAACATTGATAGAATCTTAGTTACAAAAAATTTTTTCAACTAAAATTTAAAATTAAAATACTATTATTTCTAGTATTAATTTTGAATTAACAATAAAATTAGCAGGAAATTTAATTTAATTATCTATAATTGGAAAAATTCCAAACTTTCACCTCAATATACATCCTTTTGCCAACAAGATAAAGACAGAATCGTAGAAAAATAAAAATAAAAATTCAAAAAGAAAAAAAAAAGAAGAAAGAGCATCGATTTGAAGAAGATACAATTGCAACAGTAATGAAAGGCATTCTGAATTTGCATACAAAATTGGAGAGTTTCGATAGAGTGGTATCCTAACTAAGGATTAACGTCTTTCACAGAGAACAACTTGGAAATAGATGAAGCTGGTTGAACAGCTTTATCTTTGAGGAGAGATTGCTCGAAGATAAAGTTGCAGTTTCTATATCCTACCTTCTCAAGAAGTAATTAGTCCTTTATATCATTACGTGACCGGAATTTACCGATTTCTTGCTTGACGATTCTATTGAAGTTAAATATAAATATAATAATAATAATAATAATAATCATTTATCGATCAAATTATTAAATAAATCTTATTAAAATTTCTCAATAAAATATACTTGTTTATATTCTTATATTTTTATTAATATAACATGGATAATATAATTGAATCTTAGCAAATTAAAATTAATAAATGACGAGTCATTAATGTATATATATATATATATATA